CTACAGCACGTCAGAAAAGGCTCCACGAAAACCACAGCATAATATTCTGAGAATAACAAAATGCAGAATGTTTACTAGCACTGAAAACTGTACATTCAAATTTTTAAAACAATAGTATAAGAAATGTTCAGTCTTTCCGGATAGCAGTTCTAAAATAAAAGCACTAATCTACCGATACACGGACTGTTCGAAATTAATTTATTACCCAATCTCTTTACTTCCGGCTCCACTTAGTACAATATACGGCAGTTGCAACTGCTTCTGTTTGGATATCTGCTTCTGTAGGGTACCAAGCGGAGTGTCAGTTGAACTCATCTGGTTCATGAGCTAAATAGGCCGAAATGTATAAAATAGTGAAACTAAGTCATAAACATTAAATCAATATAAAAACGTGGTTAAAAAACAGAAGTCGAAAACGGCGCAGCAGCTGATAGTAACTGACCGATGAGGGACAATGTGGAAGTAGAATGACTGTCTAAGGATTTACTGCACAATGTACACAAATGGAAAGCTATTTATTTCCTGGAGTTCCCATTCCAGTTCAGATTTTTGAGACTTTTGAAGATCAATAAAGCCTGCGTAAACCTGCTGTTCAAATCTGGATCGCTGGAAATAAGTGCCAAGATATTTAAAGCGCTGGGCTTCTTCGACAATATTTGTTGCATAGCATACCTTCAACTCCACTGCCCCACGGAGATGCCCCATCACTACTGACTTCGTATGGATCAGCTTAAGGCCCATTTTCGCTAAAGTTGTGCACACCGCGAGCGAGACCGCCGTCGCAGGCGCCCGGCATTTTGCCGGGGATCTGATGCATTATTTATTTATTCATCATCACCTTTGTTCCAAAAAGACCATCTTTATTCTGCAAATTCTGTGATATTTCGCACAATATGACCTATTACTACGAAGAAGAGTAGAGGAGAGAGTACAACGCCATTACGACACATGACTACAGAGCTACTGCTATCTAGCAATGCGGTAACTTGACTACGCTGGATATAGACGATCAGAAAGGTCAGAAAAAAACGACAGACCATGAGTGTAAACCATGAATTTCAAAGTAAAAAACAAACCAGGGAAACTTACCTCACTCTCGAGTAACTTTTTTACCCGCTTTTCGATTTTCTTCTTGCCGGGCGTTTTGCCGTGGAACTTCCATGACAAATAACGAAAAGCGTTCTTTTCGTCCATCAGCTGGCCGTATTCGTCAGCATATTCCAGCTTAACGTCCGGAACGTAGCTGCGCTTTTCTTGAAAGTCGACTATCGGTCCTCCGCCATGGCCCATTCGCTGTAACTTTTTGGCATATTTGTCGTCGATGTCGCTAAAAGCGATGACGTTGTTATTGCTTTAATAATAAATAAATAAAAACAAACGATTACTGAAACTGTCGATCGAGAATCGTAAACTTCTGAGCTTGGAGGTGTGACAATCGCATGCCAGAATTGTTATCGCCATTCTGCTTCTCGAGGTACCCTTTTTGATGCGCCAACGACAATGCGGAGAAAACGCTTTTACTCACTTCAGGTTCATCTTCCAATATCGGCCCTGACTCAGCTTCGCCATTCTACAAATTCAAACACAGACACAGTGAATAAATTAGTTTTTCATCGAATAAATATACCAGCTTTATAAATTAATGTTATTGGATCAGAATAATATGGAGTACATAACTAATGGCGAAAATAATAAAACCTCCACATGGAGTCGTTTACGATAAAAACTGTTTAAATTAGGGCTTCGCTATATTACTGATAAAACAGTGCAGCATAACATTACAGACGGACAAAGATGACTACCATCGTATTAATTTTAAAGAAAAAAGTGCCACCGATGGAATGTGAGTCTTTCTTCAGTTTCATAATTTGGCCCTATTGGTGCCCTTCCTTTCATGAAGTTTATGGTGCGGTGCTGGTCTCCGTTTCTACGCCATCAGCCACGTGTGCCTTACCGTTTATTTTAAGGCAAAATCTACAGCCATATTGCCAGAGTAGCGCGTTGTCTCCGTTTCCTTCCAATAGAGTGGTAGTCGTTTATTAACCTCAGAAGAAGGGCGAGTAACCCACCTGACCGGGGCTTGAACTCTGGACCTATCCTTTCTGAGCGGTCAGAACAACTCCAGTCTGAAGTAATGAAGTAAATTCCTTTTTCAAGGATATTCGTTAATAAACCAGAATTGGTCAAGAGCAGAATCGAACTCGGCACCAGCGGAGTTCGAATTGGTGCTCTCAGACATTGTGCCAGTACGCTACAATGTCAAAGAATGCATGGCCAAATCCGATACTTATTTTGTCTGCCATTTGAATAAAAGATGACACATTACGCAGTGGGAAAAAGTAGGAAAATATTTCACTGAATATTGTAAAACAACCACTAAAGCCATACTTCTTCAGAAGATGATGCATGGGAAACTGTTTTTTCATGTTCCTCAAATTCGGCCTCTACCCACTGACCGCGGCTTTCAGGCTCATCTCTGCTCGTTTCAGGTGTGGCTACTCTTTCAACGTTCATAAGTTCGTCTTCATTGACGTCATCCCGATTTCCCGACAGACCGTATGTCGGAATGTCGCCCAGTCCTCGACAGTACTCAGAAATGGCGTCGAGGACAATGTTCGGGCCTCCGCCGGTTTCCTCTTCTTCGTGCTTCATGAGAGATCTCACCTCTTTAGCAATCTGAAAACACAAGCCGGTGACAAATTTCATAGTGCATTCGAAAATCTCACAAAGATACCTTCTTCGCCGGCTGTTCTGCCTGGTACTCTAACCGCAGTTCGGCTAGTTTTGCCCTGCGAGCACGATCAAGCTCTGCCTGTAGCTCGTCTTCCGCTTCATCCTCGATTATAATCTTGCTCAAATCTTCCTCTTCTTCCATATCATTTGTTTCTATAACAAACATTGATTAGATATTTTCTATTAACTTGAAAATCCTCACATACCACCTAAAACGGTTTAATTACAGCGTTTTCCTGACTACGTTGGATGTCGTCGACTGAACTCCACTACAACGCTATATTAGTGAAATGTATAACAAGCCCCCTTAAAGACTTCTTTTGAAGGGTGTGCCGCAGTGAAACTGTTACTCTCGGATGTCTTCATGTGTAAATTTAAAGGTCTTTATAGTCAGAGTTACACGCATGTACGTCACGAGCAAAGACTATGAAGAAGCCCTATGAG